TCGCGACGGCCCTCCGAGTCACAGAATATCCTGAGTTGGAAGGGGGCCACAAGGATCAGCCAAGTCCGTCTCCTGGCCGTGCACAGGGCAGCTCCAAGAATCACGTCATGTGCCTGAGAGCTCGCTCTTTCTCCAGGGAAAATACAGCATCCCTGTCCCATGCCAGAGCCAGTGGTGGTGAGGCTGAATGATCACGGATGCAAACCTTCTTACCTGCTTTGTACAGCACCTTTGTGAAGCAGCCATTAAAACCCTCCAAAACAGAGCAAGCGCAAGGTGAAAAATCGTGATTTAATAGCCATGACTTGATAAAAGCATCCAAATGAGCCTGAGGTCATATATACCATCTCCTGGAAAATGTTGCTGTGGGGAGGGTTTCGCTGGTCCCCAGAACTCACACTCCTGGGTTGCACACAAACTGAGCAGTGCTGTCACACCTCTGGGCAGGTGCCTCTGGGTGACAGCCACAGGCAGCAGCAAAGCTTTGGCAGTCTTGGGGTGTGCGGGCTGCTGGCCTGACCTAATGTCCTAAATACCTTGTCTTCCTATCAATTAATACCACCTCATGTGACACAGTTGGGACTCGTAGCCCAATTGTTATAGGAGTCACAGAAACAAATCTGGATAACCAGAATAAGAGGTCAGCTTTATGGGTTAGTTTACAAAGAATCATCAGAAAATGCTCATCTGAGTAGTGCAGACAAGCCATCCAGACGAGTGCACTTTGTAGAGTGGAAGAAAATATCACAGGAGAAGAAATATTAAATACATAGATTTATTATGTTTCTTTTCTTATAAATATTTAATTAATTTCATAAAAATGGAAGTAACAGAACCCTTTCAAGACACAAGTTTAGTTTGTCTTAGAAACAATACACTTTTAGGACAAAACCAACATACTACATAAAAAACAAAGGGCCATTTAAATAAAGGACATAATAATATTGTGCTTAAAGCTCTATTGATATCCACAAGGAAGAAGGAATGTTGTAGTGTGTAGACCAGGTGTAGGACGTGCTTTGTATAGCTGTTATTTTCTTAGGTACTACAGGAAGAACATGATGCTTTAGTGCACTTTAACAAAAAATACCCCAAAGCAAAGCTTCCTCCTCCAACTCTGTCCCTCTGTGCAATGTTTGCCACCTTCAATAGTAGAAGCAGCCAAATGCAGCTACCACACAAAACAAGCTGTCCTGGGGAAAACAGAGAAAGGGTCCATGTTAGTCAAGGCTCTTTGCTAGCCCAGTGGAATGGGAAAACCTCAGGGAACGTTTAGACCAGAGCATAACCTTGCTTTGTAATATATAGCAACTTTCTGTCTTTTGTTCACCTCACTTTTGGTGTAACCCAGGTCAGTGCATCTGAATGCCAGAAGTGCCTCACTTTCCTCCATCCACACTCCCACAGGTGTCTAGGTGCCAGTTAAAAATAAAAAAATAATGAAGTAAAACCTCGACTTCTACTCAGTCCTGGATTTCAGCCATGCTCCATGACTGCAGTTTAGAAAAGCACAGAGAAGACTTTGTGTCTTGTGCTTCCTCTCCCCACCTGTAAAATGGCATGACTATAATGACTTCTGTACCGTACTGTGTGACCTACTCAGGAGAGAAGTTTCACTATGTCAGATATTATATCTAAGTATGTTATGTGAATGAGGACATAAATCATACTGTTTCAATAGTCTCGGTTCATTCCTTCTACTGGTTGCGTTTTTTTCTGCTCCATATTTAAGGTCTCTCTGGCTCTCATACAAAAGCAAGTAGCCCTACACTTCCCATGGGAATCCAGCTGGTACTTACATTCATGAACACGTCGTGAGCACAGCTGTCAGTGTCGGCGTCCCAGAAACATCGCGCGGCCATGCTAAACAAAGGAGCCAGAGCAGAGACGTTACCCAGAGTTCATGTGTGAGGACCTAAGTGATCACAGATACTTTCCTCGAAAACCAAACTGAGCTTTCTTTAAAGATAAAGGAATTGGGAAGCGTTCTCCTGAATCCCAAGCCTAAATCTCCACTGCTGAATACCATATGCTTTGATCCCCTCTGTATGTGGCTCAAGCTCCATCTTCAAGCTCATCACGTATCAACCCTGCTACCTCCACTGTGCAGCAGGGCTTGAACCTCATTGGTATGGTGTGTAAGAATCTTTGACTTCTGACCTATGTGTATTGGTGACTGATTTAGCTTATTTGTCCTTGTCCTTCACCTTCTGCACCCTCATGGTACATACTCCCAACTTATTTATAGGAAGCGATCGTATTCCTTGGCAGACGCCGTGTTACTAGACCACGAGCTAAGCTCTTCTAGTCTTTTTGTATCTATACCTTCTGTTCCCTGAACATCCTGCTGGACTTCTACACCTGCTTCAGTCCAAGCCTTACCCTGAGGACAAGTAACCGGACCATAACAGGGTATTACAGATGAGACCTCGCTGCTGTCTTGTCTGATGTCACTGACATTCCCCCTTCTTTGCTGCAAATGTCCCAGTCCCTGCCTGCCCCAGTCAGTCTCAGCTGATGGGATTCCTCTTTGTGGCACACCATGTTGTTCCCAGTCCCTACATGTATGACTTACTGTTCTAAGATTGCTGAATTTAATCTCTTCTATTACCTTAGCCCTCAAGATTATCCTGATTTTTTGTTTTTTGCTGTACAGTATTCCACTCTGCCTCTGGAACACCCTGGTTACCCAGTATTTTGCATTAAGGATGTTGGTGACCATTCATCAATATTGCCTCCTGTCTGTTGCAAACCAGAGAATTTCCCCACAGGCTGCTCTGTCAGCCTGTGTTGTTGGGTTTCACATTTCCACCTCACTGAACTGTTCACCCTGGTACGGTGCTTCTGGAGCAGTCTGCCTGCAGCTGGACATTCCTGACAAAAGCCTGAGCAGCAGGTACAAATATTTCTCTCTGACCCCCAAAGCACTAAAGCAGCTCTGCTGCACTTATCTTCTGCTGGAGTACCAGGAACAATAATAAAGATAAGCCCAGCAGATAAAGCACATAAACCTTGTGGGCTGTTCTCTTTTGTCTTCTCCCTACCCAGTAGTAATAATGGAAAGCTACAGCCCACTACTGCAGCCAAGAGGAATTCTTTTGTCTGACTGCAGGCATCTGGAGCTGACTGCAAGTGCTCAGCACCCACATGGGAATTTGGCTCGGTTCCCAGGACAGTAGTGCAGGGGGATTATTGATATTTAAACTTCTGAAAAATGCCTACCTGGGATGATTAAATGTAAATGAAGTGCTTATGGAAATCTGGCTTTAGACAGAAGTGAGTTACCATGGCTCTTTTGCTCCAGCAGGGCCTTGGGAACGGATAGAGTCTGTGCCCTAGTTCATCATGAATACAAAATAAAATGCTTCTGCAACACTCCTCACCAATGCTTCTCAGCATTTCGGGTTGCTAAGAACCACCACAGAGCCCATTATCACTGGCTAATTCAATCAGCCACAACCTAAGCCCTCAAGTGCCACTTAAAGAGAAAAGAAAGTGCTTTACACTTTATCATCTGCAGAGAGATCTTTGTACCTAGCAAAGCTGGAAGCAGCTTCCAAAGGAAAAAACCACACCCAAACCCAACAAACATGATAGAAAGACAATTAGAAAACTTACTTCACTCCTTCTCCTCTCTGTTCTCCAATCACAACCTGCACCACCATTTTGTACCTGTCATATCCCTCCTCTGGAGAGAAAAAAATAATAGTGAGAGCAACAATTTGTTTAAAATATGAGCCCAAAACAGGACCCTAAATGCTAAAGGTTTCTGGCTACAAAGCAAGTGTCCTCTGCAAGCCCATGCAAGTAGCCAAGTGGACAGACTGCCTTGTGGCTTCATTTTCCTAGCATGGAGTACCATGGTTTTACTGGAGCTAAAGGGTGAACAGAGTAGTTGGCCTCTATCAAAAGATGCATCTAAGGCAGAAGACACCCCTGAGCAGCCACACTATATTCTGCTTTGACAACTTTCAAGAGCTGACCACATGGAAAGAACGTAAATAAGGCTGCTGTGGAAAAAAATGCAAATTGAAAAAAATTGCCTTATTTTAAAACTGTTCTGATGCAAAGGTATTGTAGAGATTATTCTGCCATACAGGTGTTTCCTTTGCTTCTGAGTGGGATAAAAGGGCCCATAAAAGCATATGTGGGTCTGTGTTATGTGTCTGCAGAGATATGCAATAGTTTTACAATAGTAAAGAAACACCTCCGGGGCACAGACCAGATCCAATCAGGCCATGGCAATGTTCCAGAAGCCAAATCAGAACAAGCATGTTTAAAATCAAATACGGATCCTAATGCCTGTCTTCAACAAAGCAGTGTCCCAGGAAGACTCCGGCGCATTGTTTCCACTGGAGGATTGAACACAACAGGCTGGGTCTGTTATAACATCCACCACGTCAATGCTTATCAGAGATACCAGCTGATACAGCGGCCACACGGGGCCGGCCTTGCTTCAGGCTGCTGCAACTGTGTTTACACATTACTACAGCCAAGCCCTGTGCATATGAGCTCGGCATCAACACGTGCTGGGCCTACAGCTGCTGCTGGCTTTAAAGCAGATGTGCAAATCTGGGAGAAGCATCAATCCGTGGCACTGCCGAGGGTGACAGTCCGGCCACGCCACTGTGTCAGGCCAGACCAGCAGATGGAGCACCAGCCTGCCCCAGGAGGAAAGCAAAAAAAAAGTGGCTGTGCCAGCACACACATCCATGTACTTGTCCCAGTACAGAACTCAGGAAACACCTGCTGGAGCTTGCAGTTTCCTTCTTGAACTCAAAAATATTGGAGAGTATTCTGTGCAGCATCACCACAACCTTCTTCCAGTGCTGTAAGGCTGTAGTCATACCCCTCCTTGTCTGACTGCTCCTCTCTCCCCCTTCCCTGTGCCCTCTGAGCCTTATTCTGATCTCCCTGCTATTCCACTCTGACACAACTCTGACCTAACTCGCAGCAGAAAAAAGGCAGGAATGGTTCTTTTTATGGAAGCAAGAAGCAATGAAGCATCACTTCTTTCTTCTCTCCAGTGCCGCTTCTTCACCTCTGCAGCCCCTCCTGATATCCCACACTAGCCAAGCTACACAAAAACAGATCCTGTCTGCTTGAATTAGATCTTCAGTTCCGCAGGCGAGGAATGTATATATAGGACAGATTGTTTCATAACAGTAGACTCGAGTCAGTCAACAGGGAAGGAATAGGTTTCAAGAATAAAAGAGGAAAGAGATTTTGTCAAAAGGGAGATGACACGGTAAGAAGAGAAATTACTTCCCCAGCAGACCTCCTTACCTTTCAGTCTGTCTTTTATTGTCTCTGATAAGGACTTTGTAAGCTCAGGCATTTCCTCTGGGTTGTACTGTACATTGGCCAGCTTCTCCTTCAGTATCGCATGGATGCATTCTTTTACTGAGGACGATTTGAATCTATCAAGGAAAAAAAAGCAGCAACAGAAAGCCCCAAAAGTTCACACAACATGTAGAAACGTACACAACCCCACCTGGGAAAATGCAGCTTTCACATACTTAAGAAAAAATGACAAATCAAAAACCACGGGGGAAAAAAACCCTGCTAAGACGGAGATACTTAACCAGCCCTGCCAAAAGCCAAACACCCATGAAAAGGTGCGAAAACAGCCTTCTTGGAAGTTGCCCCTCCAGCAGCATCCTCCACCCGAGCGCATGTCAAAGTTGGTCAGGGAGCCCAGTGCCCCCCATCTCCCAAACCCTCGGGGCTCCCCCATTCCCAACACACCCCCACAGCCCCTCCTGCCCAGGGAGCCCCTCCCGGACAGTCCCACCGCAGCTCCCACATCCCCGGGGCCAACCCCCCCAGCCCAAGGCCCCCACCACCCCTCTCCTTACTAACCCCCCCCCTTGGCTCACCGTGTGCTGAGAGGCCGGGCGAAGGCTGTAGGTGTTGCCGTCCCCATCGTCCGGGCCCAGCTCGCCCAATGGCGCGCCCCCGCAGCCTTCCCGGCGTTGGGTTACCGGGACAACCCCTGCCCCTTCCGCCGCTCCCACCGCCCGCCCTGCCGCGTCAGCGCCGCGTCACCGCCGGGGGGAGCGCGGCGGGGATGCGGAGTCACCGACCGGGAGTATTTCCTACCCTTGTTAAAAAAAAAGAAAAAAAAAAGGCAACAAAACCAAAACAAAACCAAACAACAACAACCCCCCCCCAAAAAAAAAAAAAAAAAAACACAAAACCCCCCACAAACCGAAAACCCCAATAATTATTTTTACTAATTTTTGCGATTAAAAAACTTGCCCGATAATGTAATTGGTAAATAAATGGTAAATAACTGCTGTGATGATTGTAAACTATTTTAATAGTTGTATTAATGGTAAAATTCTGTTGTGGAAGACACTGAGGTCCCACACTGAGCAGCAGCTGAGGGCAGTGGGGGTGTTCTGCCTGGAGAAAAGGAGGCTCAGAGGTGACCTTATTGCTCTCTACAGCTCCCTGAGAGGAGGTTGTAGACAGATGGGGGTCAAGCTCTTCTCTCAGGCAAGTAGTGACAGGATGAGAGGACATAGTCTTAAGCTGTGCCAGGGGAGGTTTAGGTTGGACATTAGGAGGAATTTCTTCACAGAAAGGGTGATTAAAGTTTGGAATGGGCTGCCCAGAGAGGTGATGAAGTCACTGTCTCTGGAAGTGTTTAAGGAAAGACTGGTCGTGGCACTTAGTGCTGTGATCTAGTTGTCATGGTGGTGTTTGGTCATAGGTTGGACTTGATGATCTCAGAGGTCTTTTCCAACCTAAATGAGTCTGTGATTCTGTAAATGAAGTGTTTGATGAGGCTGCTGCCTGGAGTGAGGCGGAAGGTCTGATAGAGAGAGAATGAGGTAAGATGGCCTGGCCTCTCTGGGTGCTTCCCTGATGCCCCCATCCTGTCCCAAATCAGCAGCTGCAGCCCCTGTGTGCACCCTCACCCAGGACTCAGTGGGCTGGAGCAGCTGTGGGTGCCAGCAGGGCAGAGGGGTCCCTGTGCCCAGAAACATGCCTGCCGGATCCTGGCCTCAGCTGGATGGGGGCTGTGATGGTGTCCCAGCCCCAGGAGCCTTGCTGGGAGGGCCTGGATGCTGAGGGACAGTGGGTGCAGGTGGAGGAGAACATAGCCTGGACTCCTTGCCTTTGCAAAGCCTGTTCCCCTGATTTTTGCCTGTGTGTTGCTGCCAGGCCTTGTACTCTCTTCCTGCCTCTGGGCCATGCATCCCAACCATCAGGGAGAAGGTCCCAGCCTTGCTCCTTTCCTCCAGGAACTTCTTAAATCCTCCAGAAAGGCCTAAAATTCTTGCTCCCCGATATCCTTCCCCTATCATAGCCCTGTGCTCTTTTCCTTGGCTGCAGCTGCTGTCTGTCCCAAGGAAGGCCGCATGTGACGCAGCCCCTCCTGAGCTGACATTCTGCTTACCCCACAGTTTATCTCGATGCAGCGATCTCCACGATCCTTCCTGCGTACAGTGAGTGACGCGGCTGAGAAAGGTCCCTGTGCGCTTCACCCAGCTCCGAATGGAAACAGTGTGAAGGCACAGCCAGTGCCGGTGCAGAGTGTGCTGCTGCCAGGATTGAGGTGCTGGAGGGGACCATCACTTGTGACAGGGCTGGGAATGACTGGAGGTGCCCCTTGGGTACAAGAGGTGCACTGGGAGGCAGAGGGTACAGCTGCTGCAGTTTTGCTTGGGATGCACGGGCATATCCCAACTGGTGCCAGGTCCTGCCCCAAACTGGTCTGAGCACAGATGGGTTGATGGGATCCCGAGCAGCAGCAGCAGCTCCTGATTTCTACAGACTTTAGCAGCACCACTTGCTAGAGATGGACCATCAGAGTCCTTAGTACCACCGGCCTCTGCCCACAGTAGGGTCAGCACCTCACTGCCATGCTGAAGGTGATGGTGGCCCCATGCCATACCCTTGTGGCACCTTCCCATCACAGTTACCATTGCTCTGCCCAGGCCCTGCAGGTTTCCGCTTGCTAAAGGAACATTTTCGTGCCTCTGTTCCATCCCTCTGCTTACTCACTGCCGCTGCTTACTCACACCCACGGGCTGCTGCATGTCCCCACAGGGTCAGGTGCTGTTCCTCATGCAAATAATTTGCAGAGACCTTCCTAATTTCCAAGAAATGTCTGAAAGACCTCAACACTCTTCCGTGTTTATCTGCAAACACTATTAACTGTTTCCTCTTCTTGCCCAAGCCATTCACCTCCCGCCTGGGTCAGACCCACAGATGTGAATTCAGTTAAACTGTTGGGGGAAGGATCTTTGGAACCTGTGGGTTTCTCTTCCTGAGCATCTTTTTGGGTTAACTTGTGTTCCTCATTTCATTTGGGAAGCTTTACTTTCCCTGGACTTCAAAGTCATTTAACTCTGGACTCCAGTCAGCTCATCTGTGGTGTTTGATCACGGCTCTTTTTCATCTTCCAAATTTTCAGTGCTCCTTAAATACCCCAGATACTTGTAAGCCATATTGGGTCTGACCCTCTACCCTTTAACTCTGGTGATAGCTGTGTGCCCTGACAGTGATGGCTGCAGGAGACTAGAACCTCCTCTGCGTCCCAGCTGCGTTGGTGGGACTCTCACAGACTCAGGGGACCACCTTCTTGTTGGGGAAAAAAAAGACATTTGTGCTCCTATGAAGTGGTGTGATGTGCTTGCTGAAGTTACTCTCTCTTAGTTTTAAAGAACAAACTGTTTTCTCACTTATTCCTCTTTCTCCTTCCTTTTTAGACATTCTTTTCCTCTTTTGGTGGCCAAATAGCAAAGGACTGTCCCATGGAATTTACTATATTCAAGCTCACATAAAGCGACCCCTCAGCAACCCCCCCAAGGGGTACCATCCACCCCATGGGGCTGGAGGGGATTTACCAGCATGACGGGGTGCAGCAGCATGGTTTGAACCAGGCTGTTTTTCTTGGTGCTGGAGAACCTGGTGAAAGAGCCAGCAGGAGCTATGATGGTCTGGCAGGGTGCTGGCAGGGTGCAAAGCTTTTCTGAAGCCTGGTGGCTGCTGTGGGACTGGGGCTGGGCTCCTCTGTGATGCTGACACCTGAGGCACATGCTGGGCTGGGGCACGGCACCGCTGCTCACCTCGCTTTCCTCCGCAGCGGCTTCCTAACAGCGAGATTGATCTTTTCTTTTATTCTTTTCATCGCTTCTAGTTTTTTTTTCTCAGAAAAAAGGGCATCTAGCCATTGTTGGTTTCTCGTGGACGTGGCAGCCTCCCCGCCTCGGGTACCGGCTTACACCCATTTCAAGCGTGCATTGGAAAGTCTGAGCAATTCATGCTATGATTTTAATCAGAGCCCTCTGATGCTGCTGCATGGGGCAGGGAGGATGAGCCAGTTTTTCCTGCTGATCCCTGCCTCAAAAAGTCGTGATCTTGGCAGTGATACCCATCACATCATCTGTGTTTAGAAATCAAAACATGTGGCAAGTGCCAAACAAGCCTTTCCCAACCTGGCCCAGATGCCTCGTGTCAGCATTTGGGGTCATAAAACCTCAAGGCAGAAAAACCTCCTTGCTATGAGCTTCCATATTTCCTGAAGTTCATTTTAGTTTAGTTTAGTTAGGGTTTTTTGAGTGGGAATGCAGAAAATTGTGAAAGAAGAGGTGATGTCCACCTCAAAACCCACCTACACCTTTGCACATGGTGGAGAGCACTCCCTTTGCCACCCATCCAGGCAGCGTGGTGGCCTCTGGCCAGGTGGCATGGAGAGGTGACAAGGTAGGCACAGTTCCCAGCCTTGCTCTGCAGCCCAAGCAGGGCCAGCAGCTCATGAGAAAGGAATGGTGCTGCAGTGCTGGGAGGAGACTGGAAAAGAAGACCCAGGACAGGCTGGACTTAGCCACCCACCCAGGGTGAGCCCTGTCTGCCCCAGTTCAGAACCCCCTCCTTGGCCATCCCAATTTGACCATCACAGTAGTGTTAGGTTAATGGTTTGACTTGATGATCTTAGAGATCTTTCCAATCTTAACGATTCTATGATTCTATGAAGTTAGGGGTGGCTCCCCCAGCCCACTTGCCTGCCAGGGCCTTGTTTGAAAGTGAGAGGTGAGCAAGCCCTAGCCCTGCTCATTTCTGAAAGCCTGGAAAATAATGAAATCGTCATTAGAATCACATCCTTCACCCCAATTATTAATTTTCCCCTGACACTTTCCAAAATTGTGAGGCACGGAGGCTGTGTTTGAGAGAAGTGGAGGAGCTGCTTTCACCGCTGGTTATTTCCTATGCGAGTATTAGTCAGTGTGGTGAGTGGGGAACATCGATGGTTGAAAAACTACAGAAGTCTTTTGCAAATTTCACCCCAATAACAGCATCCTGGCTCTGGGCACCTGCCTTTGCTCTCTGCAAATCTATCATGAAAAAACACTCTGAAGGCGGCAAACCTTCTCCTCCTTCTCCTTCTCCTTCTCCTTCTCCTTCTCCTTCTCCTTCTCCTTCTCCTTCTCCTTCTCTCCTTCTCCTTCTCCTTCTCCTTCTCCTTCTCCTTCTCCTTCTCCTCCTCCTTCTCCTTCTCCTTCTCCTTCTCCTTCTCCTTCTCCTTCTCCTTCTCCTTCTCCTTCTCCTTCTCCTTCTCCTTCTCCTTCTCTTCTCCTTCTTCTCCTTCTCCCTCTTCTCCCTCTTCTCCCATCCCATCCCAGTGGGAGCAGCCTACCAATAGGTGCCCCATGGCTACCCAGACCCTCCCTGTCTACCCAGTGCCACATGTCCCCCAGTACTCCACTGCCTTGGGCACCTGTTGGGAACACCCATGGGTGCCTGGGAACCCAAGACAGCTTTTACTTATGTGCCAGGCTTGGAACTGAGGACCTGTCCCATGTGGCCCCTGCCTGCTCCACCTCTGAAAGATTTCCCCAAAAAGGGTTCAGGCTCAGAGGTGCCTGTCCCTGCTGCTTGGTGGCTGGTTGCCTGCGTGGGAAAGCAAGGAGGGGAAAGAGGCCATGTATGGCTCAGCTGATCCTTGCCTCCGAGTGGAGGAAGCTGGGGGCGGGAGGCAGCCTGGGTTTCCCTCTGGGGGAGAGACAGGCACGTTTCATTTCCACCCAGCCCTTGCAGGGTACGACAGAGAACAAGTTCCCGCTGCGGGGGAGGCGGCACAGAGAGAGCCGGGGCCGGCAGAGCACATACAGCACAGCACATCGCATCTGCTGGGCAGTGGACCCACCGCCTCGCCACGGCTCCAAGTGCCTCGAAGATGACGTGGGGCAGAATGGAGGTGGCCCTGGCTGGCCTCTGTGCCATCCTGCTCTGCTGTGGGCCCACACTGGCCTGCTGCCGCCGGGGTAGGTACTGGAGTGTGGCGTGCTCGCTGGCATGGCGTGTCATTTGTAGCTCTTGGAAAATGCCTAAAGTCTAGTCTAACTAACTAAGAATCTGGCATCAAGAAGGCAGAGACCCCAAAGCTTTTGGGTACGTGTGGCTGAAACAAAGGACGTGGGGATGCTTGAGGCAGAAACGGGATTAACAGATGGGGAAGGGCACACAGCCCACAGTGCTGACACCAGAGCTGTGTTGTGGCACAGTGACTGTAGTTAGGGTTTGATGGGTTTGCCGGTGCCATGTGAGGTCTGGTGTTTTCTGCTCTGGCTCTCATGGCTTCAGTCTGTGCCCTTGGGCTTCAACTCCTGTTTTGGACTTGACACTGAGGGAGCCAGGGTCCTTGCTCTGGATGAAATTTGGGGAAGAAGGAGAGGTTGAGGGGAAGAGGTGAGTCTCGGCAGAGCAAGTGAAGCCCTGGTGAAGCTGTGTTCCCCCTTCCTCCCAGCCTGACTCTTCCTTTAGTGGATTCGTGTTTTCTGTCCTGATGGTGGGTGCAGGGCTGGGCGTTCCTTGGAGCAGATGTTACCTCTGGTGCTGGGAAGATGCAGGGAAACATGTAAACCCAACATCTGCTTTCAGATGTCCTCTGAACACTTCATTCATTGTTGGCACCAGCAATGACAGAAAGCAAAGCCCTGAACCTGCCAAATATTTCCCATTAAACACAAACCACTGCAAAATTCAAAAACTGCAAATTCAAAACTCTTCAAAAATTCCATCTCTTAGTGTGGGCACTGCCACAGCTGATCCTGCTGATGGGAACTGGGGCACTTCTCTCCCTCCCTCCTCCTGTTTGATCTCCTCCCTAATTTCTCAGCCCAGTTTTCCATCTGATCTTGTATCTATTCACGGAATTGTCCAGGTCCATTTGCTGGTTGATGACACTGAGATCATGGTCCTACAGCCTCAGGCCAGAGCTGGAGGGACAGGAGGGACTTTCTGGCTCTCCCTGTAAGCTCTGGAGCTGCTATTGGTGTTGATTTCTGAAAAGGGAAGGTAAATTTTTTAATAACAGGGACTTTTCAGAGCCTTGGTGGTTTGAATTCCTTGGTCAGGTAACCCATGTGAAAAATGCCTCTTCCCACTTTTTATTGCTCTGAACAGAAATTAGTGCAACAACTACTGTGTTCTTCTGTGTGCCTGGCCCATGTTCACAGCATCCCCGCTGCCCAGAGGCATTGAACCTGCTGGCATAATGGGAAGGGAAATGTGGTGAAGCAGCAGGCCAAGAGGCCTGTGGCTGTAGCTGACTGCCCTCTGTGCTGGGAACAGCCTGGCAAGCCCATCTGGGACCCCCAGGGTAGGGGGCACACAGTCTGGGGACAGGCAGCTGGAAAGGGATGGCGTAAGCTCCAGGTTGCTCTGACCTGTTAGATGGTCTCAGGATGGAGATAGCAAATACTGTACCATGGGCAGCCCCTGCCTGCTCTGAGGTCCAAGCATGGTGCAGTGGGGAGAGCCAGAGCATCCCAGCTGGCAGCCAGGCATGAGATGGGCTGCACCGGAGGGCACTGCCCTGACCCAGGACTCAGTCCCTCTGCTCACTTTCAGAGTCAGCATCAGCTGGAGGGAAGATGACTCAGACATCAAAATATAGCATAGATTTAAAAATAATACAACCCTCAACGTTTGTTTTCCCCAGTACAGGTGTTCTGTGCCAATTTTAGTTAGCGCAGAGCACAACTTGCTCTGCTGAAACCGCTTCATAGTACAGTTACTAACTCTGAGGGTCCCCCTCCAGCCAGCAGGCACACACTCAGGAGGGAAGAGGCATGGACTAATGTACCTCGCTGTGACCCAGAGTAATGAAGTGGACTGGGCTTGCATCTCAGGCTCCTGCACAGGGGGTATGACTGTTTCTGAGATCTATGCCTGCTGTAACCATGTCTGCTCCTTGTTTCCTCTCTCCCAAACAGTGACTATCTTCCCATCAGTGTTAACTTTCCATGAAGGTGGCATAGCCACCTTCTCCTGCAATATCTCCATGGAGAGTGACTCTGGCTCAGAGTACAGCCTCAACTGGTACAAGGACACCAACCACAGCCAAGCCCAAAAAATAGCTGAGATCAGCCCAAACCACCCCAGGATGGAGACGGAGAAGTACCGGCTCACCAACCACACTCCTGTCTTCAAGATTGAGATCCGGAACCTCCACCAAAATGACTCAGGCTCCTACTACTGTGGACTGATCACCTTCTTTGAACCCAATAAATTCCTTTTGATGGAGAGCAACCGGTCCCGGCTGATGGTCACAGGTCAGGCTTGGGGCTGAGCTGATGGGTAACACATTGTAGCTCCAGGGCTTAAGGCAGACAGTACCCTGCTGGTGGAGGATCTGACATGGGTCAGGAGAGCACAGCCCTGCCCTTTTCCTCTCCTTTGCATTCAGGGTTGAGGTCCAAGAACACAGGCTAACCTCCCTGTGAACACTGCATCTGGATGTGGTCCTGATGCAGGAGGTCTCCGTCCTGCTGGGGCTGTGTCCCCAGTAATGCTGTGGGGAGAAGCAGTTCTTACCCATTGATGGAGGCTGAGACCAGTGTAGGGAACTGCCTTCATCCTTGAACAGCTCCTCTGGGGACAGGAATTGTGTTTGGGGTGATGACCAGGGCTCAGACACCTTGAACAGCCAGTGTCGGTGTAGATACTGACATTGCAAGATCATGCTCTGTGAGGGTCTGATAGTCCCATGGTGTGTGAGACTGAGATCTTGCAGCAGTCTCTGCCATATCCTTGCTTGACAGCAGAGGAGCTTTGTGGGGCTCAAGCCGACCTTTTATAAAAAAGAAAAACTCTGCAAAAGTCACTGTCTTCCACAACATCTCTTCC